ATCTATCTCTCTTTCACGCTCCTACGCGCGCCTTATCTTTCTTGGTTAGTGGGCGATTTAAATACGCCTTTACAGTTAGGCAGAAAGTGGGTTTCCTTCTGAAGATTAGACCCGGAAAGGAAAATGTCATGATTACTCTTGCGAAGATTCAGTTCACAAGATCCTTTCGAAATGAGCAAGAATGTCTGACACATGACATGTATTTTTCATGTAAAGTACTTAAATGTAATGTATCAAGTATTGTAAATAATCAAATTACAAATAAAATGAAGACAAATGACACATTTCGAGACAAGCCATAGTTAAGTGAACAATGCCTTTCTTTAATTATATATATACACTTTGAAGAATAAGAGAGATTTCAAGTTTACTGAAGAAAGCTCACATCTATTTTTAGCTTGGGACTGATTGATACGTCTGGAGTTGCTCAACACTTGATAAGCTATCAGAGAGAGTAACGAGGTTGGAACGTTAAATAAGCCTAAGTAATATCTGTTTCTTAAGATTTTATATCTATCTGAAAATACATTAATATATAAAAATATTAAATATATTTTAAAATTACTTATAAAATTTTAAAAGCGGGGTATTGCAAATTACATGCAACTTTATCATAAATCTCCAAACCACATATTTGTGGTTAAAAATATCTTTTTAGATTACATATGCATAAGTTGATAAATTATAAATATAAATTTGCCATCATTAAAATACGATTCCACATTCCAAGTATAATGATTTATAAAAAATATTATAACGTTATTATGTTTTTGTAACAAAATCAACTCCAAATATTACAGACATATTGCAGTGCTTCATTTCCAAAGTGAATTTTTTTAAGATGGTGCAATATATATTTTACAAACCTAATTATTTAAAAACGTTGTGTGTAAATAAGTTTTTTTTCCAATATGGGCCTTTTTCTCAAGCAATGTAATGCTATAAGTATTTAAAAAAAAAAAATATATATATATAAAAAGTTGTTTTTACCGTTTTTACTAGAATGAAAATTAAAAAAAAAAAAATCATGTGTTTTATTGTACCATTATTATAAACAAAAAGGTAAATTTTCATACTACAATTTTAATAACTTTATTCTTCCCGAATCATACATAATTTTTGTACTTCAAACCGAACTCTAATCAAACCTTTTTTGTTGTTGGTTTGAAACTGTTTTTTTAAGTTTCAATACTTTTTAATTACTACTAAAATAATCTAAACATTTCAGCTGTATATATACACACATTACAGAACAAATGTATGTGAAATATTCTCAATGTTTTTCATTTATGTTGGATAATTGAGGCTGTAAAATTGTTTATTATAATCTTAAATCCATTTGTAAAAAAGAAAAAGAGAGAGGAGCAATTACAAGCAAACCCTGGCAATCGGTTTGCGTAAACTTGTTGGGGTTAGGACAATGGCTAAGGACGACGAGCCTTGTCCCAGATCGGCAGCGCGCCCTTGGCCTCCCCGACTTCCCAACCTCACCGTCTTTCAGGGTCTTCCGGCAAGGCTGGAGGAAGAACCATCCTCCGCCTCCAGGTGATGGTCGCTTCCTGGATGCCTCTAAGAAGGAGAGAATCAATGGCGATCACTCGTTTTTCGAGATTCTTCAGTATCCTAAAAGGGGAACGCCATAAGACATAAGATCAACAAGTAGGTCAAGATCCATTTCAAAACCGAAAAGTGACGTTCGAGAGGAGATCGGGTATGCTCGGCAGCCTCCGCCTCAATTTAACCTCAATCCAATATACTCATTATTTCGTATATTAAGAAATCAAACGCGCATGTTTATAAAGAGATAAATACTTTATATCATTGAAATAATATAAAATAAGTCTATAATAAAAAAATCTTTACCATAATACCATTCTCAACTACATTCCATAAAACCCATATCAACATATTCCAACTTCAATGGAATCTGCCACACCATTGACTGCCCTACAGTCCGGCATATGATGGAAATTAATATTCTAAACGATTAGAATTTCAAACAACCTAACGAATTGGGTGTTGTTTACAATGCATTAGAAATCATAAATTACTAACCATACATTATTTAAAAATGAATCTAATGGTTTCAGGTAAAAACAACTATAATAACTAAAACCTGTGTTTTATTAATATAAACTCTATATTGAATATAACATAAATTGAAACTTGGTGGCATGAAATATCGTAAAAAAGATCTAACGAATTTACATACCCATTGCAATTGTTCTAATACATTGCATCAATTATATTTATCCAACATTGCAAATAATTACACACTGTGTAGAAATCTTAAATTCTTTTGGTGAATTAAATTCTAAATAATTTTTTACATTATTCTTAATGTTTCATTTAGTTTAAAGTATTCCTATCCACAATAAATAAACAATTGGCTTTTTTATTTATCATAATATTCAAAGAAACTATTAATGCTAATACGAAAGAAGACTGGCCAGACCGGTCAAGTTCATCTCCGGTGGCCTAAACGGAATAGGCACCTGTTATGTAGCCGTTAACGGCGCCCAAACGTTCCTCGCTAACGTTGGATTAACATAACGTATAAGGAATATCTGTTGAGTGAGGAAACCATCTCTAAACGTATCAGTCATTAAAAAATTTGGAAATCGAAAAACAAATTTCATATCTACACTTAAGAGATAATTAAATAGTAATTAATAACGAGTGATAATAATATAAGAGTCTGAGACTACGTCTAGTCTGATAGTATTTTTTTAATTAGGAACAAACATGGTTTAAACTTTGAACCGTTTCGTAATGGGTTTTGTCCGTGGTAAAGAGCTCTATTTATCAATTTTTTAACATCCGTATAAAAATTCATTTTAGAAAAAAAAAATATCTTCATCTTTTCGCAACTTACAATTTTTTTAATTGTAAAAATACTTGGAAATGGAGTGTTTTCGATCTTGAGATCGGTAAACTTTGTCAATTCAATGAAGTATTAAAAAATCGAGAAAAAGGTGGCCTATAAAAATATCGCACCGTTTGGCCTCAAACATCTGAACATGTCAAAATAAATATTTTTGTGAACCACCTTTTTTTTCTCAAATTCGTGATAAAATTATCTTTCAATTTGATTGGAATGAAAGAGGACAATCATGAGCATTTAATACTTCAATAAATTAATTAATTAAATGAGAAATAGACCTATTTCTGTGAACTTTCGTAGATGAAGTTTTACAGAGATGTTAATAATTCGATAAAAAATAGTCTGTACCGCGGGCTATAAAGCCTACTGAAGTAACTAAGTCTTAATTTACAAACATAATATCTGTAAGAACGCATTTATTTTAATTACTGGATTTTTTCACCACCATTTTTTTTCTCATAAGGACGAAGGAGAAGGGAATGGAACGAACGTTCGATTCATTTATCCTTGGAACAATTTAATATTATAATAGGAGCTGTCCTGCCCGGATTGAACAACTATGACGAGGTGGACAATGGCTGACATATCAGTGGGAGGATGGATGGTGGTATCGGTGCGAGAATGGTAATAGTTTTAGGTAAGGATGGGTTTCATCATTGGAGCAGGCGGGGACCTTCGCTCTCGGTTGCAACACTTCGTGAGGCAACAGCGAGGGCCTTGCTACATCACTTGTTCACATCAGTTGCATGGCCGCTCCCTTCCTTGTCGATCCTCTAAAACGTTGCAGGGTACGATCTACGCAAAGTCCATCCTGATATAGTTCAGCAAATCGTTAAATCGGGCTACGGTCCGCAAGATAGACGGGATGATAGTAGCTGTTGGTATCATTTCCACCCAAAATCCTAAGCAAAGTCGCGCATAAACCTCTACTCTCCACTCCCATATTTAATTGCTCACCTCTTCTTAAAAATATGCAAGCGAAAGTAGAATAATCCTAGATAATATACAAATAAACGTACGTTCCATATTTTTCTCTCGCTCCTTGATTTGAAACCTTTCATTCGGAAAATTCTTAATTCCGTCGAAATACGCCTCCTTTCAAAAACTTTCGAAGGCGGCACATCCTTTGATTTTCACCTGAAAAACAGCAGATGAATCGATCGCAGACAAGGGTAAAAACACAGACTAACCCAGCGAAACAACCCATATACATTTTTTTCGGAAAATAATTTTTAAACCCTAAAATGAGTAATGTACTTTAGATATACCTGAACTGAGTACATATAATTAATTCACTTATAATATTGTAATTGTTAATGTGTATTGTTTTAACCAATTTAGTGTTTAAAACTAGTTTTCTAAAAAAAAATCTATATATATGTTTTATTTTTTCATTATAAGCCTCGAAACGTTGCTAAAATGTAGTCTGGTACTTAAAGACTTAACCTTCATATCCTCAAGTAATATATATTTTCAATAGTCCAGAAAAAATAAGTAATTATATATGCGTATCAAAAATCTATAAAAAAAAAAATCCCTACTGATTGTTTGTGGAAAAACAAGCAAATAAGGCTAAACATGAAAACAACCTTTGTAAATTAAAAATTAAATAGATACTGTTGTTATCACCTTATCTGTTGTTATTATAATTTTCCTCAGATACTGGGTATCACAGGTTTTTTGGGGGACTATGCACTCAAAGGAAGTAAAAGATAATTTTTTCGAAATGAAATAGAGATAAAAAAAATAATTGGAACATACTAATAATTTTTTTTTTTTTTAAATATTTTTGTAACAAAAACTTTAGGAAAATCAAAAAGTGCGACATCTGCCCAAAAGAGGGAAAAATGAAATTATTTATAAAATAAAATCCAACAATGTATAAAAAAATTTACGTTGTCATGATCATTATATTGAACACAAAACCAACACAGTAATAAAATAATAAAAAAGGCCTCTAACGGTATCGCAACACTATAATAAAATCTAGCAAGCTTTTCAATTGCTTTTCCCAAAGAAGATATTATAATCAATATTATATGATGAAATGAGGGCTAAAAAATTAAATAAATATATATATATATATATAAAATCAACACAAGAGGTAACGAAACCCATGCGCAATATCCCAGTTCCCAAAGTAGGAAACTCCATTCCGAGTAAGGGGCGTTGCACAGGGCTAATGCAATATTGTGCCCGCCTCGGCATTTTAGTAAATATTGCTAATCAGCTGATAAGAAATGGACCAATCCGACGAGTTAAATGAGCGAAGAATGTAAATTCCGAATGGTTTGCGTCAGCGGGCGCTATAGCAACACATCCTCCCTCTTGACAAATCTCTTGCGACCTCCCGTCTCTTGCGTACTCTTGTTACAAACTGTCCCGCAATATCTTACCTTTTAAACGGCTGCCTTGCAAAGCTAAAGCAACACCAGTTGGAAAACTATTCATTATTTTCAGTTACAAAAATTCTTTGAAATCCAATTAAAAACACAAGGAAACAAAATGGTTTAACAAATATTATATTTGAATTGAAAGTATTATTTAGAGAGAATAAATTTGATTTTTAATTATTTAATTAATGAAGGAAACGAAGACGAAGGATGTAAGGAGAGAGAGAGAGAGCGTCAAGAAGTTCATCGAGGTTATGAAGGAGCACAAGAGCAGCCAGGGGAGATAGGTTTATCTTCTCTCCCCGACCTTGATGTGCTGCCCTGTTTCACAAGAGGCAGGATGTGGACACCGATAAGCCGATGGTTCTCTCATGCTCTATCTTCCCTCTTCATAATCTCGGCACCAATAGCACAGAGAGCACGGACCGAAGTAGTAAACCGGGTAACCGCCCGGGAATGTGTAAACAATATCTTGGCAGAGATAGCGACTGTTGCACCAATCCTCAGCCAAACAATGATAAATGTATTTTTGAATACACTAATGTAAAATGATAGATTCCTAGTCTAGGACTGAAATATTCTTATTTTGACGAACAAAAATTATCATAAATTTCAAACGTATACCTGAAATGGGTTCCCCAAATAGCTTCAAGATGGGAAGAGGAAAAAGGAACACCCAAAACGCCAATACTACTCATAAATCTAGTCAGTTGACAAGATGTTTCTTAAGTTTAAAATGCGTTATAAAAAACAGAAGCAATTCAGATTGACACGGGAGGTTGACTAAGCCTGACGTGGATCATTGCATAATTTTATGTTATATAAGTTGAAAAACACAGGACGAAATAGTCCGCTCCGCCAATGGAACGCTGCATCTGTCCAATTGAGTCCACATCTATTTTCCTATTTTTTTATTTGTTTTGACTCCTAACAAAGAAATTGATTCTCAACTTTGCGAACCGAGAGAAACGGATGGGAAAACACAATGAGCTGACCTTCCTTAAGATAAATACTTTAATTTCTTAGTTTGGTGTGTTGCAATCTAATCACCCCATCCTTCTCTTGTTTTTCTCTTTTTTCCCCAACCTTGTGCGCTACTAGTTTCTAACCATAATGTAAATTACCAATTAAATAAAATATATATATTTTTTAATATTTACTTTATTCCTTCGTGAATTTACCCATTGCAACAAGCAAGTGCCTTCTAAAAAAATAAGGCTTGCTGCTTTTCGGGTAAATATTTTGTTTCACTCAAGGCCGAGGTATTTTTTCCTTGGTATTATTTAAGAAAAAAAAAAAAAAAAAAAAAAAACAATATGAAAATTAAAACTGTAGACTGGCCTTGGGATATTAGAAAAATAGTTAATAACAAACGAAAATCACGTTTTAGGTATATTTTGTAAATATTTTTGTTGTTGATTTTATTGATGACAACTGGATAGTATATCAATCAATAAAAACAAATTAAAACTACAATAGTTTGACAATATATTCGTTCAATTATTGGATCTTTTATTTCGTTCAGTTTTGTATTCCATGCAAATCTGTTCTTAAATATTGTTTTTTAATAATAACAAAATACTTTTTATTCTTTGACAATGTTCTGTAAAATAATCTCTGTTTTCTTTTGCCACATTATAAAACTTGCTCAACGTTTTAGTACATATATGTTTGGAAATCTATTCATTTTATTGACTAGAGAATTTTCAGTAGAAGAAATGTCTATAAGAATGTTCCAACTGTGTCCTGGAATATCTAAAAATAATTAAAGAAATGAACTCACCTAGAAGAATCCGAGAAGACGAACTTCCTCAGCTTGAGATCTCTTAAGACTACGCCCCTCTCGTGGCAGGCTGCGACCGCTTCCGCCACTTGCCGGAAGAGCCGCCTCGCTTCCGTCTCCCTTAACCTCTTCCTCGACCTCACGTGCGAGTGGAGGTCTCCCGAGGAACCGGGGAAAACCAGGTACATGTACTCCTCTCCGAGAACTACTTCGTGGAGTGGGTTGATCCGCGGATGGCCATCCAGCCTAAGGTGGGCCGAGACGAGGCCCGTGCAGTCCCTGCCGACCACCTGTTATCAAATGACACCTAGCCGATCAGAACATGTCCAAGGAGGTTTCTCCAGAAGAAAATATATATTTAAAATGTAACAGTAAATAATAATAATATTTAGAACAAGAAAATGTGTCAATTTTAAAATAATATCGTATGAAAAAATTAGAGTTTTCACATAAGACAAAATCCAGAAAAATCTACTCTTGCAAGCAAAGGCGTCGGCGCTTAAAACATATTGGTGGAGATGATACTTGGTGTAACAAGATGGTACATAAAGGAGTAGCCAATTCATCAGTTTTTTTACTTGTGATATACCATAATAACTAATTGTGCGATTCATTAAACCTTTTAATGAGTTATTTTTAGATAAATGATCATAAATTATTAGAAGAAGGGGAGGATGAGACATAAGAAACTTAATAATAAACTAAAAATAAAAATAGATCATAATAAAATTTTCTAAACCTAACTCTAAGATGTCATACAAATCTTAAATTTTAGTATTCCTGCATAAAAATAGACTATTTCATTCTTAAGGGTATTTTTTTTATTTAAAGGCAGTGAGGAATGATTCTTTCAGGATTCCTTTAGGTTGAGCGATGATAAAATATATCCAAAAACCATCCTTAGTAAAATAGCTATATTTCCGAGATGCAATTAGTAACCTCCCAAAACGAAGTCGTTGGTCTTTTTATCTCCAGAAAATTACTAACCATTCTTGAATAAAATATATATACATTCATATATTGATTCGTCTTAGGAGTGCATTCTTTATTCAGAATTTATTTTATTTTATCCTTGTAACTGCCCTATTTCTGATTTGAGAGACTTTTTTGGATTGTTTCTTACTCGAATAATGCTCTCAGGAAGCAGACTTATAGCTGGATATTTAGCGAAAACAAATAAATATTTGATGGATACAGACTACAATATAAATAAGGCAACGACAATTCCTCGGATGTTTTTCCAATATCTGACTCGCGATAAAAGATAATGCAGATATTAACAGGCTTACAGGCCAGACGAAAAACAGTCCCGCGAAGAGATAATGATGGGCGTTGTTGAGCAATCAATATGACGAAGATAAACCACAGAGGAAAAACTGAACGGGAGAGAAAAAAAAACATAAATAATCCCTTCATAGCGCATCATTCACAAGATAACGCCGATTCTCAAGTGGACTTCATTCTTATCATTCGTTTCATATAAAAAAAAATTGAGCTTAAGAGGATCAGTACAATAAGGTTTCGAAATAGAGAACGTCACAATACAAACAAAAACGTATTCCTCGTTTGAAAGCTTAAATATGTTAGGACTGTTAATACCTAATTATGATACATGAAATCATTCATTGAAATTTTGTATATTCTTGTTTGATAAAATTTACGCAGAGATAAACTTGTCGGTTGACCATGTATCCTGATAACATTACATTTAGCTTAGGCTAAGAAAATATACTTTTTTCGAGTATAACCTCCTGTTTTAAATTTTTAAATACTGAAAGAAAAAGAAATGGCCGAACGGAAATCATCCATATCATGATTTATTACAGGAGAGGAAGGGAAAAGGTGGGAACAGGCAGGAATTTGTAACAAGAAGGAAAAATATAGATCGCGTTCAGGAGAATGTTACTTCTTACATAACAGATGGCAGCAGTTTCGCACAAGAGATGTGAAACGGCTATTTCTCAAAAGTAATTGCTACTATCTTTCTACACCTTTCGGAGATGTGGTCAGGATTCAGTTATAATGCTATGAAATCTGTTATAAGTTAAAAAAAAATTCTGTTTTTTTAATAGATGTTAAAGAGAGGGCTGGTTGAAATGCACAAGACAGTTATGCTTATATATAAATGCAATTAATTGTCAAAAAACAGGGACCGTTGTCCTCCAATATCTCTGTCAAGGGCTTCGGCCACTATACCAACGAATTTCAACAGAGGTTTCATCAGCTTTGCATACTGTGTCAATTTTATTCATAATTCAATGTAACAGCATGGGAACGCATATTACAAATTACCCTATTAGTTTTTAATAAAAGGATTAAACAAATATTAACTCAAAATTTTAGTAGCAACATAGGTCTCTCTAATCATTATTTTTCTTAATAATTATTCTGTATATTTTGTAGATGAATGAAATGATAAATCTGAACAAGTCCATTAAAAAGATGTGACGTATGATCCAGCATAGAAAGAAATGATATGACATTACACGTGGGAGACACTCCTTCATAGTTCTTACTGTATTTTTTTTTTCCGTTTTCGATTATTGTTTTTAATGGGGTCCGTTAGAGCCCAATATTAAATATAACAAAGATCGAATTTATTGTTTAATACACAATACGTAGATAATTTAACACTTAAATGAGGAAAAAAAAAAGAATAGATAGATAAACTTTTCCTTCTAAGGATTATATTATATATGTGTGTTGAAGAGCGATAAGAGACATGTGTAATCTTTGTTTTAATTGCAATTATTCTGTTATTTAATACACATAAAGATAGCGCAACAATTTATTGCCTAGAAGAATTTAATCTTACGTAATAAAACCATTTATTACTAAGCTCGATATGTATATATATATATATATATATATATATATATATATACATATATAATCAGTTCGAAAATATACTTTAAATTTTGTGCGGCAATGACAGTTTTGTCGGTTGACCAACCCTTTCTGAGAATTATCTCTCTCTGCTTGGGGGGTATGCGATAACCCAGAGTCAACCATAAAAATAATATTTTAAAATATTATTTTATTTATGGTGCATAATTTATTTATTTTTACTATATAGATCCTTTATCTTTAAATTCTAAATGCCAAGTATATTGTATTTAGATATGACTTGAGTTTTTTTGTTTCGAAGATATGTTTTATTTTGCTCAACTTCAATCTATTATTTTATTTTTAGTGTATATTATATTTATTTAATTTAATTCATTTCCGTTTTATAAGCCAATATTGTACAAATGCCCTTCAATGTGACAGATTGTATTATTATTTAAGGGATATGTTATAAAAACCAAGCAGTAGGTTTAACTCATTTATCTGTTTAATTAGAACTTCATACTTATATAAATTATGATATATATATATATATATATATATATATATATATATATATATATATATATATATATATATATATATATTATTATTAACTGCTATAAGGAGACTGTAAGATCAAGTCCAGAAATTCATATTTTTTTTTTCATTTTTACTGATCAATATAAGTATTTAGATTTTCCTGATATACAATGATTAACAAAGGATTTGATAAGGGGAACAAATGCTAATGATTTACTGCTAATGACGAGTTTATTTTTATAGCTGATGTAAAAAGAACCTTCAAGATAATCGAATAAATGTATTTTCACTGATTTCTGACAGACCAGTTGTGTAACAGTTTTCTTCTTTTGAGACAGGATGATTTTGAAAAATACACTGCTATAGTAATTGAAAAGATAATTTCATAATGCGCAGAGTATAGATGTAACACATGGCTCGAGGGGGCGCTCTTGAAATCAACTGAAATAGCAGCGGCCGACATTGAGCAAGCGAAAACCCTGTCCCGGTTCTGGCTGCGAAGGACGGTCCCTCAGAGTCGATAGTTGTTATAATCGAATATAATCGATACTCGGACGGGTACAGATCCGGTTCTGCGGACGAAGCCTTTGTTGGCTGCTGAGGTGTAACTGACCTCTGCCAAGGACGTCTGCAGGTCCTCCCATCCCCTCCTCCTCTTCTTGTCCGCGGTTACAAAAAACCCATTTGCCAAACCTCCCCTTGCAAAAGACTGTCCAGCCGCGGGACCTTTTGTCTTTAACGAAAAAGACTACACAAGCTCAACATTACATTGTCAACAATGAGCAACGAGATTGTTTGGAATTCTTAAGAAATGGAGGGGATTTCGAAACAGCCATTGAATAAAATATAGTTCGAGTTGGTACAACGTTTTTTTTTTTCAAAAGGTATTTAGGTTAATGTAAACTAAACAAGACATAATTACAAAATACAATATTATCCATATTTTATTTATAGAATATTGTTCTATTAATGTATTTTCCCAAAACAATACGTACCTAAAATTTATATATAAAAGCCCACCAATAAGGAGAGTCTCCTATTTATAAAGTGAACCCTTATCGATTTTTTTTAAATTCGAGATAAGTATCGAACCGTGTGAATCCGATGGAGCAGATAATTAATTCATAAAAGTTGTATTCAAATGAAAATTAAATATTAATTTATTTTTTTGTAATAGAATTTTTTTATAACTTTTCACGGAGTAATACATCATTTTTTTTTTCTATCGAAACATTTTTCTTGTTCAAAAACTGTCCTTGAAGTTTAATTCGTTCCAAAAGCGACCCTATTCAAGTTTTAATTTTTTCTTTTAAATTATTACTGTAATAAGTATAATAATATAATAAGTATTTTCTTAATTTTTATTTTTTTTATTATTTTGATACTATAATTGGAATAAATAATATAGTTGCCTGAAGCATTGTCAATTATGATTTGGGTTCACTTCGGAAATAAACGATTCAGATTTTTGTTGATTGCATCATGATAATTATTGTTGTTTAATAGTAATTAATACATCGGCTATTAATGCTGAACTTTATAATCCATTTATTAAAGATTTCCATGAAATTGAAACAAAGAATATAATATAAATAATTAAAACGAACAAAATAATTTTCCCAACCTCCACCGTGGATCCATAAATAGTAGGATTTCGAAAAGCACGAGCCAGCGAGCGAGCAAACACATTTATAACTGATCTACTTAAGAACTCAGTGTTGTAATGCCCCGGGGTCATTTCGACATAGCTCAAAATGCGCCTTTTTCAAGATTATTAATAACATTTTTCGAAATGGCGATTCCCAATTTAGATCCTGATTCCTCCACCGCTTTCTTCCCGCGGATGTGGAAATACAGACCGTCCGATATTCTCGTCTGGATCGCCGGTGGACCGTTGGCACTAGGCGCTGTAGGCGCGACGCATCGGAATCCGTTTCGCAACACTGTTCATTAGTCTAAGAGGGGGGGGGGCGAGGGTCTTATCTTACACAGGGTCGACGTTTCGGGATATCGTGTTACAGGGAAGAGGATGCCACAAGATGTGGAACACAAGCATCACAAAAGAAAAAAATCTTTTTGTTAAAACTTATTAAAAAAAAATCATCGGCAAAAGTAAATTGAACGAAATAATTATCTCATAAACAACAATGGGAAAGAAATCATAAACGTTCCTTCAACAATCTGGACCTTAATAAACGGTTGTCAGTTTTGAAAAGTCATGGTCACCAACCGAACTCGAACAAAGAACTCCCTTTACCCTTGGGAAAAAGTCGATATTCTCCTACACACTCATTAAGTTTTTTTTTTTTAAACAATACCAATAATTTAAAATTAGTAATTAAAATTAACTTCCAATATTCCAAAAAAAAAATCTCACGAGAATTTTTTTTCTAAATATAACAAAAGATCCGTTATGTATGATTTTTTTAATTTTAATAATATTTATTTTTAGACTTTATTCCCACACTTTTATTCATGGCGCGTCGCCTACCAGTCTCGTAGAATAGTTTAGTATCAGCTTTGAAGAACAGAGAAAGCATTCAGGAATAAACTCGGGTCGGGAGATAAGGGATTGATAACAAGTGCAGGAGGCTTCATTGTGCTACGCGGGTCTATATGCACTTTTCTTATTTTTTTGCTTCATGAAGCTGACAAAATATTAAAACTGATTTTTTAAAAATAAAATGAGCGTAATGGAAACATGTATAAAAAACAATCACAACTGATAATACCATAAACCTCCTTCAGAAAATTAAATATACAAAATTACATGAACAAAAAACATGACAATAAAATGTATTTATATTTAATTTCGATAATAGACCTTAGTAACTTCTAGTTAAATATTAAATATACCAAGTGCCAAAAATATACATTATGACTAAAACTACTTATTTTATATTATTTTAAAAATACATATGATTCATTCGATCTTATCACTTCACTTTTCTAGTTGCATCCTCTTATGAATTTCATATATCTTGATGACACAACCAATGATTACATAATTATTATTTACGACTGTTATGATTAATTATTTTGGGCAATGATGGACCAACTCTGCAAAATATCAAGCCAAAAAATAAAATGAAGATCAATAGAGACTGATGTAATATCATCTCTTATTGCTACGTCAGATTAATGACGTCAGAGGAAATTGACTAATAGTTTAATATGTTATTTCAAGTAATGATATCAATATTAAAAATACAACGAAAAGTTAACTATATGTTTTTCAACGCGCATATTTCAAGTGAAATGTCTGTTTGCGACATAATATAGGAGTGTTGCACAGTTTTTCAAGGTAGTATTGCCTTGAATTCTAGGACTCATTACTTGCCGAGAAGGTATCGCATAACTATTTCTTTTTAAAAGGAATAATAAAAAAAAGTTTGCAAGTATATAAATGACAAGTGTAAGAGGGAAATGGTATTGAAGAAATGAACTGGGAGGTGGCGGGCCAAGGACCAGTCGCGCAACCTTGCGGCCTTACCTCCCACCATCTTTTGATAATGACCTTATCAACCAGGCTAAATCACCCGGGGATGGATATTTAAATATATATATACAAAAAACAAAAAACTACATAAATCGCAACAGTTTGAAAACGATATCTGATAGATAAAATTAAAATAATGTAATTAAAATCAAACAGAGAAGACAGGATGTGACCAAACAAAGAGACTGGCCACATTGTTAGCAGCCGTTCCTCGAACAAAGAACCAGACGCGTCTCTAGTATGAAAAATATAATAAATAAAACAATGTGTACGAATTTATAATTCTTATTTTATCTTAGGACAATGGTATCAGCACAAAGGAATTAAGACTGTATTGAAGAGATAAACTTTCTGGGTCTAAGAGCGAACAAAGGTCACTGGTTTAATCTAAAGTGAAAAAATATTTCACAAAATCTCTAAGAGAATAAATAATTAATTAAGAATAAAAAGAGAAACATAAAAAAAGGGAAATTATTATGTTAACTTTTTATAATTTTTTTTTAAGATTCAATTTGAGATGAATAATCAATTTCGAAGAAAAAAAAATTACTACTATTTAGTGAACTTTTGAACCCTCTTATTCAGTTAATAAAAATAAATAAATATTTGACTACTCACCCTGCAGACCATCTCCTTCTCGGTCGTAACGTCTACACAAGTGTGAAGAGGACATCCTTCCGGAGGATCTAGAAGGATGTACCTGTTGGCCAGGAGGTACGCCGATGGAGGAACTTGTCGTTGCTCTTCGGCGGCCCACGGCGGCTGGACGGAACCAGGGCTACTCGGCCCATCGTCAGGAACTTCCCTCGCAGCTGCCGGCTTCTTCAGCAAGTCCTCCCGAACCACCTCATCTCGCCGTTCCACTTGCATAATCGGATATCACAAATAAAACTGCACACCGCTCACCGAAATTCCACTTTCGATTTGTCAAAAAAAATATATATAACTATTTCGCGTATATATATTTTATCCTTATGTTCTCTTATACTTGGAAACGCACGCACACAAAACTCAAAAAAAATTACGAGTACTAAAATTACTAACAAAACTCCCCCACTGCACACAGGGCTTCCTTCTACCTTCTCCGACGAGTACCTGAGGACAAAGAGAGGCGAATGGTTAGCAACAAGAATTGGGAGATCGCGCGCGGCTGCGTCGACCTATTGATTTACCGCAGTCACTAGGCTCGATCTTCCATAAGTTAAAAAAAAACTTAAATATTTTAAATTTAATCAAATCAGATTTTAATATTATTATTTCCAAAAAAATCTTGCAAATTGAAAAAAAAAAACTTAAAAAAATTTCAATACACTCCACATTTAAAAAAAAATACCTACTTGTTTTGTGGGTTGTTCCTGAAAGGTAATCTTTCCTGTGTATGATAAGAAAGACTGAATTCTGATACAAAGGCCTGGTGCCCCCTCAGAAACAAAACACAACACAAGACTGAACCAATCCTGAAGCCATCTTACAACGAACTGAGCCGGCAATCCCTCCCCACCACCTCACCAGCCAGCTACCCCCACCACCGCTACTTCCTACTCCACGCCCTCCTTATCTCTAACGTCTGCCCCCACATCCTGATAACTTTTCTCCTTTCTCCTGTCTCTTTCTTTCTCTCTCTCTCTCTCCCCTGGCTCGTCTTAGTCTCCGGGTTGAATGTAGAACAGCTGAGAACCAGGATATCTCCTAGCAACGAGCACAATGAAACTTTTATTATATAGTCCATAACGCTCAACCTACTGAACTTAAAAATTATTGGAACTAATCATACTTCCACAATAGAATAATTTTACAAAAATATAATACAATATGGAGAGTCTTCACGGCTTGCTATATATCAATTAAGGTTAGATATCAATAGTGATGGAAAAATATCGAAATTTTACTCCCATGATTTTATATCGATATGTGATAAATTCGATGTTTAAAATTTGACTACTAAAACTGAGATTAAAAAAAAAAAAAGTATCTACGAATTCACTTCAATGGTGAGCACATCCCAACGGGAGAGTTTTTTACAATACCGCAGAAAATAACTATTTTTTAAATTAATTGTTTTTATAAATTTGTACTTCAAACTTTTTTTTTCTATTTAGTAAATATCAATATTAATAGGCATGATATGTTTGTCATTCTAAATTATATTTTGATTCTCTTCCTTTTTATTATCATTTCTTTTTTTATATCGAGTTATTCAGAAGAAGAAGAAAAGAAGATAAAATTAAATTTTATTATGAGACATTTAGTTCCCTAAGAATAATAATAATAAACAGTAAAAGTGTCATTTGTGTGGCGTAAAATGACAAGAAATAATTCAATCATAGGACGATATAACCTTAGAATTAAAATGAATGATAAGCACAATTAAACAAATAAAATTATAGATAAATAAATACCATTATGTATATTCTGTTAATTTTTTCAGTAATAAATGTTAATAGTTTCACGATTTTTTAATAAATTATTTTCATATAAATGTGGTTGATAATCTAATCACAAGTTTATTGTTAGGTACAGTGATTATACATTTTAACGATAAAAAAAAAATCCGTTTGAAAAATGCCGGTCATCATTACTTTTACAATGCTTCAACCACTTACCATCTTCGTTTTATTTTTTTTTTTTAAATTTATATATCTATTTATAATAATTACATAATTAGATCATAATTTTTCGAATTTCTGATTTGAAATTTTTAATGACTGTCTATTATATTTTTAAGAATATTTATGAATAATTTTTCATGATTTAAAAATTTACTTCATAAAAAATTACCATATCAATATAGGAATGAAAAATTAACACTTTTTAATTAATAAAACCTAATATAGATTATACCTAATATAAAACCTAATATATTAAATTAATAATATAAACCTAAAATTTCTCCCACCTCTGCCCATATTTCTTTATTATCTTCATTCAATAGTGACAATTTTTATTTTTCCTACATTGCTCCTACGAACCTTATTTCCTTCATAATGAAATCCCGATCCTAATCTATATGAATTGACGAAATACCCGCCAAACTGTTAAAATTATGCCTCCCTGAAATCCTTTCAGTCCTATTCTTTTATAACTTTTCCCTCCAAAATTCTGTTCTTCCTAACCCTTGGGAAAAAGCCTTAGCCCGTCCTATTAACAAAATAATTAATACCAACTCTCCTAAAGACTATCGTCCGATTTCCATTCTTTCTAATCTGTCAAAACCCCTCGAAAGAATAGTCCAATCCCAAATTTCCAATTTTCTCGAAGAGTTCAAACTTCTAGATCCTTCCCAATCTGGCTTTCGCCCGGGCTTCTCCATTCAATCCGCTTTAGTTAAAATCACAAATGACATACATACTGCAATCGACAAAAGAAAACTGACTGTATTGGTACTCCTGGACTTCTCCAAAGCATTCGATTCCTTAGACCATTCTATCATCTTCATTAAATTAAAATTTCTATCCTAATCCAATAGTTCTATCCAATGGTTCTAATCCTTGCTTTCTGACAGGACTCAAGCCGTTAGTATTCCGAATCAACCCTTAGCTTCTTTCCTCACTTTGTCTCATGGAGTAGCCCAGGGTTCAATCATTCTCTCCTTTTTAATTCTTACGTCAATGACCTTCCTAGTTCAATCTACCATTGCTCATACCATCTATATGCTTATTCTCAAATTTATCTTTCCTTTCCGCCCACCGAGTTATTAGAAGCGTTTACTAATATTCAGAAAGACCTAGATAGGATCAGTGCCTGGGCTAGCTTGAATAAATTAAAGTTAAAAACAACGAAAACTCAGGCCATTCTTATAGTTTCCAAATCCCTCCTTAAATCCATTTCCACCCTTCCTTCCTTGATAACTTGATGCCAACCAATCTCCTTCGCCTCTTCTGTAAAAAACTAAGGAATTACCATTGATCAAAATCTATCATGGAAACCCCATATTGCTCATATCTCCAGAAGGTCAATTGGTACAATTAAACTATTCCATTCTCGTCAGCATCTCACACAACCTATCCGCAAGCTCCTCGTTTTCTCATTTATTTTCCTCCACTTTAATTATGGCTGTGTGGTATACGCCGGGCCTCTCGTTGGTGCTTGAGGACAGACTGAAGAGAATCCTATTTCTTTTTTTTCCATTACACCACAAGTAATCCTGAGATTTTATTTTTATTTCTCTTAGTGTTTCCATATTATTATATAAATCACTGTATATATTATTACACTTTGTATTAAGTTATTTTTTTATTAGCTAGCCTATTGTTTATAAATTGTGTAGTTATGTATACATAAATATGTAATTTATTTTTTCAATAAATGTTCATTTATATTTTTTTGTTTATTTTTTAGTGGTTACACACTATTTTTTAAACAATGCCCAACAGGAGTTCAAACTTCTAGATTACTAAAAAACAATGCCTTCTAGATTCTTCTGGATAAATAAATAAATAATATAATAAATAAATAAATCCTTCTAGATTGCTTTCAAACATCTAGATTACTAAAAACCAATGCCCAAAAATTTTAAACAATCCCCAACAGGAGCCCCTTCAGATCGGCGCCCTAGGACAATTGCCCCGGATAGGATTAAGCAAACAGATAGGATTAAGCAAACAGATCTCTAAAACATTAAATCTAAAAGGCTATCATAATCATAATCTAGCGATACAAAACATACTCGTACCATCTCTTCTCTCGTTATATACATGATCATACATTCAATATGCAATATCATACATCAAATAAATAAACTTTTTTTCACGTTAAAACAAAAAATTAAGACGATCTAATGACAGAGAGAAGGGAAGATTTTTTCATTGTTTGGAAAATCAAAGTTGTTTACTCATTAGTTGATAATAATATTACAATTACCACCTCATATATAATATATAAATGTAAGTCATGGCTGAGCAACCTAATTAATTAAATTTAATATGATAAAAGAGTTCGCGTTCCCCCCCTCCCCCCAATACCCCAATCTCTCTCCTGGCTTGGAAAAAAACCGTATTGCCTAAAATGGAAGTTTTTTACTAGGAGGTACAAAAATTGTCCTTCCTTGGGTAGTATTCCATATTGCTATTGCAAAATATTTTTGAAATATTGAAATTATTATTTGTAAATTTTTAATAACAATATTAATTTTACAATTTGAAAAGATACAGAACAATATTATTTATCAGACATTAAATTTTCATATATATATGCTCATATATTGATAAATATATCCTAATTCATATATTTAACAAATAAATATTAGTTGAACTTATGTTTGGCTAAATATAAGTTATGCTTTCAGTTTTTTTAACTAAGTTTTATGGATTGGGCCACTTCAATTCGGTTTCTAATGAATGTTAAAACATTTCATCAGAAAATGAAAATAACTTTTTTTTTAACTATGTGTGTGGATGATTGAAGTTATCGTTTAACTGTTTTAAATAAGTAATGATGAATATTTGCAATAGTACAACCTACCTAAAATATAGATTATAAGTAGCTTGTCAGCTATATCGTAGGTCCATATACAAGCTTACATATAAACAAATATATAAAATTTGAAATATTAAAATTCTGTAAGGTATTAAAGGCCGATGGAGTATGGGTATATTTAAATGCAGTAACTTTAAAACCCTAAAGAGGTGAATGAATTGTCGTTAAGCCGTTGGAGCTGCTACGGTTGGTGACGCTAGGATGAATGAACGTTGTAGAGGTAGGGGAGGGGGTAGTCTTTTCTCTCCCGTTCACACTTCATTCTTCCCCTAACGCCTCGTCAACGTTATATTGCCATTTTATTGTTATTGCAACAGAAAACCTCGGAGCAAAAAGAAGCAATGGTCAACAAGTTTAAAATTTGAGAGAGCTGCCCCAATGAAATCTGGATGTATCGAACACTAACGGATCCAGGGAAAGAGTCTTTCATGTTCAAGGAATAAATAGAAATATATATATATATATATATATATATATATATATATATGTGTGTGTGTGTGTGTGTGTGTGTGTTTTATAGTTTTTAAGTACAATGAAACACGACACTAAAAACTCTGATAATCTGAAACAATTTCAAACCACGCCACACGATTATCCCCATTCAGCATCATCCGCTAATGCATATGCTTCTTTACATATATATTTTTTCATTGGTCTATATTTGTTTCTATAATTGATTTGAGCCAGGTTGGACTTTAAATGTTAATGGTAAGATTCTTTGTTGATTTAAAGGTTCTAGTTTTTTCTATATTGAATTTCTTTATCAACAGCTTGTTGTTGTACATGACACCTGAAACTGTAATTAAATAAACTAAATAAATAAATATATTGAATAACAATATTCTCTATTGACAACTGTATGAACAAAGTTCCCAGAAGAAAATTTTATGCTTGTCATTGTTGTTTTTATAGTGCTCTTGAGTTCAGTGTGTTTCATACCTTCCTACTAACAGTATTGCTGTGTTGAACATTTACCTTATCTTATCTGTATTGTTATCTTTGAAGTTA